AACAAGCCCTCCAGGTGATTCAGGTGCACAGTCAAGTTTGAGAATCATTGAACTAGAACATTGGGCTTCCAGACTCATTTGCTGATTTTCAGACTTGCCAGTGATTAGTTCTTTAAGAATGACAAAGTGCTGCTTTTCAGAAGCTTTTCCTATGCTTCTAGACAGTTGGGATTGGCAGAGGCTAGAGGCAAATTCAAATTATAGAAGACTTCGCTTTCTTTATGGATTAAGTAGGAATGATACTCCTACTTAGGACTTTGGATTTTTTGAGTTACAAACAGGGATCTATCTAAGAGAGCAACAAAATATGAAAGCCAAGTATTTGTGTATAGTTCAATGTTGTAATAAAAAGTATAAAGTGAGATGCTAAATTATATTTAATTTCTGTAATTATTTTGATGCTAGGTGGAATTAAAGTGTAAATGATAGCTATTAACCATAAGTAACTAATTAGCGTGATTTTCAGACACCTAAGTCAGTTTTTCTCCTTTCTTTAAGTACCTCACTCTCCCCAGGCATTAGTGTCAAGTGTTTCTTGGGAAGGAAAGTTTAACCCTCACCACAAGCATATGCACACACTCAAACACAAATCTAAAATGATATTTAAAATGTGTCCTTTTGGGACTGGCCTGGTGGCATAGTGGTTAAGTTTGAGTGCTCCGCTTCTGGGGCCCGGGGTTTGCAGGTTCAGATCCCAGGTGCAGACCTATGCACTGCTCATCCAGCCACGCTGTGGCAGGCGTCCCACATAAAGTAGAGGAAGAAGGGCATGGATGTTAGCCCAGGACCAATCTTCCTCAGCAAAAAAGAGGATTGGCAACAGATGTTATAGCTCAGGGCTAATCTTCCTCACCAAAAAAAAAAAAAAAAAAATGTCCTTTATCCTTTCCTACCAATATATTCCATTCCTTTGTCCCTGCCCCGTGATTTTGAGAAATAAAAGACGTGACAGAGGCTTGACCCTATAAACTGGGTGCAGAGAGCTGAGTTAAGGGTAGGGACCTATTCATTCATTCACTAAACATTACTGAGTTCCTATGCATACTATGTCATAGGCGCTGTTCTAAGCACTAGGCAAATATTAGTGAACATAGCAAAGTTTCTGTGTCTGGAGCTTATATTCAAATAGCTAAGATACAGATAAACAAATGAATATATAATACATAGGGTGGGGGTAAGTTTTTTTTAAGAAAAATACAGTGGTACAGGGAGAAAGATAATGACTGGGCTTGCTATATTGTGTGTTAATTTCTTTATGCCCTGCACCTAGCACTCAATAAATTTTTGTTGAATGAACAAACTTATTAAGAGATCTCTATGGTTGCCTCTATCTCATTGGTAACAGTGATAATATTGTAGCTAATGAGATTTATCTAAATACGGTGGCTCTGAATTCTGAAAAGCAAGAGTAGTAGCATTAAAGACTAGAACAGTGAAAATAAAAGATAATCCATCAAATTTCTGGCATCTGACCAAATTGGAGTAAGGGAAGAACAAGGAGGTCATTGTTTGATTAATACAAGAGAACTGAAAGGAAGAGGCTAGTAAGTCTGTACCCTTGTTCTAGCTTTTTTTTTTTTTTTTCCATGAGGAAGATCAGCCCTGAGCTAACATCCATGCCAATCCTCCTCTTTTTGCTGAGGAAGACTGGCCCTGAGTTAACATCTGTGCCCATCTTCCTCCACTTTATGTGGGATGCCGCCACAGCATGGCCTGACAAGCGGTGCGTTGGTGCGTGCCCGGGATCCGAACCCAGGCCGCCAGCAGCAAAGCACGCGCACTTAACCGCTACACCACAGGGCCGGCCCCTGTTCTAGGTTCTTGAGATATGGCTGAAAGAAATTAGTAGCCTTTGGGGAGTCTGTTTACACAAACTCCTAGTTAAGATTTCAGCCTCCACACCCAGGAAAGGTCCTGCAACTAATCCTCTGCTTAGGAAAACAGAAGATGTCTGTGGGATTGGAAAATAGTGAGAAAAAGGATCAGAAAATGAATCATTCCTGTTCACCCATTCTAGACACTCCAAAATAAACTTGAGTTTATCTTCGGGACAAATTTTAGAGGAAACAGTGCTATTAAACTTGAAATTGGTTTTACAGAGAAAATATCTTTCATTCTGTTAGTATCTCTGAAAAATGCATTAAAGAATAATATTTACCCTTTGTTGATATCCAAAATGCCTATTTCATGGGCTAGCAATTCTTAACATGGAGGAACGAAGGGCTCCAGAGTGATATATGGGACCACCCTTACATCATCCACACTGTCTCCTATTTTCCATTCACTCCTACAGACCAGACAGACAAACACACACACATAGACAAGAACATCAGATTTATAATTGGCAAATGTATAGGAAAAATTTGTCATCATATTCACCATTCTGAAATATGAAGGAACTACTCTAAACATGGTTTAAAACCACACAGTTTTATAAGTTAAAAGGATACTTTACCTTTTGTAGTATGTAAAAATCAGATACACTTAAGGAACTAGATGACCTCACCAACTCAAAGCAGGAAGGGATCATGTATGTGAATGTTGAGTAGCACGCAATGAGGCACAAGAATGTTTGAGAATATTTCTTTTAAAAGAGAGTGGAAAGTTCCTTTTTTAAGATTAGAGGGAAAAAAGAGATATTTTGTCTTCTTTTATAGGAAGGGAGAACAAAGATGAAAATAGATCAACTCAAAAAGGCTAAATATTCCAAACCCATTCCTAGCCCTTCCTCAGTTATTTTTCCCTCATGAAACAATATACTGGAAAGATAGAATAACAGTAAATCACTAGCAAAGTAATAAATCTCAGGCCAATCAGAAGATTCTAGATAGGGAACTCACAGGCAACAGGTAGAAACAAAGACATTTGATACCAAACTAGATTTTAATTCAAATTCACAAGCTCTGGAGAGGTTAAGTCTAAGATACAGACTCTGGTTCAGTTTACATAGATGTTCCACTGAGATCAGAACAAAAGATCAAAAGGTATATGAAAAAGCAGCGAATAGCAATTAATAGTGAGAAAACAGCAAATCAACTTTTTACATTTCTTAAAAGATGGTTAGAATCAGACTGCCTGGATTTTAACCCTGAGTTTACTACACACTAGCTGTGTCACTGTTGCCCCAGGCAAGTTATTAAATCTTTTCATGCCCTTAGTTTCATCACTTCTAAAATGGGAACAATAGTAGTCCCTCATGGGTTACCAAAAAGTTTAAATGTGTGTAATTCTTATAAAAAAAATTTAGCAGTGTCTGGAACATAGTGGGCATTCAATATACATTACCTAGTATTATTTTATTATTATATATTTAAACCTAGTTAATGGGAATATTTTTTAATATAAAAAAAGTGAGAGGACGTATCTCTCCATTGATCATATCTACAATAATAACCAGGTTTGTCAAACCACATAACTTAAGCCTCTCTGCCTACACTTAGAACCAGTAGCAGGCTCAAGCTTTTTAGGGGGAGGAGGAAGCTTTTTAAAAATAAGCTCTTTAAACCTGGTGCCAGAAAATATCACAAACTACTCACCAGCATAAAAATATACTTAATCTTTCCATACCTAAAGTTTATGAAATAAGCAAAATCAAATTTGTGTGAGCTGTTTTCAATCCTTATATCTAGCATTTTTCCCCTTCTAAGTTCCTATCTCCAAATTTAATCAACAATCTCCAATTATTTATAGTTGGTCTAGGTAAAGATTTTAAAAGTTGACTTTTATTGTTTTGGGGAAACATTTGTCTGCCCCATTATAACATTTCTTTCGTTAGAAACAGAATTTATGGTGGTGAAGTCCAATACCCTATCAGGAAAAAGACTGCATAGTTTCTGTAGAAACACAGCTTCTGGAAACACTTCATAATGGAACCCCAAAGACAGTGCATTAATGTAGAGATATTACTTAGAGATATATTTCTACATTAATAAAACATAATATACTTTATAAATTAATCTCAAGTCTGAGCCAGACACGGAAGGGTGGAAAGCCTGAATTCTGCACCCACATAATCAACAGTCTGTGGAAACTCTGGGAACCATGCCACTGGTCTCCAACCTAGCATAGTTGGGAAATGACACATTCTAAGAAGCACTCGTCCAGGAAATGAGTGGGTCACAAAGCACACCAGTAAAAGGTCCATAAAACTTGTTTTATGAATGAAGAGTATATGGTGTACTGGCTCCAAGCTGCAGCACCTTCATGAGTATGTCATAATTTCTCAGTCATTCCTCAGCATTATCATGGTGATAGATATTAACAGAACTCTAACAGGAAAAAGTAAACATGTCAGCCATAAGAATACTGTCCCATGCCATTTCATAATTATATTTAATCAATATTTTCCATATTTATCCCCATTCCAAGATCAGATCTTCTCACCCGCCCCTCCCCACCAAAAAAAGAAATGGTATACACACACACAAAAAAACTCACAACTTAAACTAATAAATTTTATTCATACTACCCATGAAAAGCAATTACATTTTTACATAAAATCATTAACACACAGAACAAGAGAAATCTTAAAATTAATATATCTGATTAGACACAATACAGAAAATAAATGTGAAAATTAAAAATAGCATACCTTAGTGATTAAATTTATACTGTATTTTCTACTTATTTATAGCAGCATCTGTAAGATTCCTCTATTTTTTTGTTAATAGTTAACTAGCAGCAAAATTTTTTAAATTACACAAAATCAGTAGATGTTTCTCTCCACTGTTTCAGTCACACAAAATTTATCACATTAACCAAACAAAACCACTTCTATTTCCTGAAGAAAAAGGTGAGAAAAGATTTCATAAGTCACCAGTTCCCCCAAAAAAGAAGAAAGGGAGGAGGAAGGAAGCTGAAAAAAATTTGCATGCGATTACCAAAAAATAAATAAATTCTCAACCACCTCCACCAATTATGGGTGGATTTTTTGGAGTCTCCATATGTTGTGTTAGTGAATAAAAGCTATGTTAGCTTTATTTTCTGACTTTATACTGCAGTTGAAAAATATGTGGAAGTTTCCAGGAGGCCTGTCAGAGCCTGGAGAAGATATCGGTATGTATCTTACATATTTTTAATTGGCTTGAAAATGTTGAGGAAATTCATGTGTTTACTTTCTTGCTCTATAGCTGAGAATAAGATTTTAAATTTTCTAATTGGTTCAGCCAAATCAGAAAATTTCAGAGAGGTTACTTCAGGGCTGATATAAAATTAGCAGCAAAACTTGTAACTTACTCCTTTAGTATAAATAATACCATTAGGAGCATACTACCTTTTCTTCTGTTGAGGACTGCTTCTAGATTAATTTGTTTGAAAATGAGAAGCTTTGGAGATACATCAGTAAAGTTTATCATTAAGGGTTATTTTGGATATGACTAAAATTGTTGTTGGAATTAAACTATGAGAAAACACAAATTCTTGACCATTTCATCACACAAGGATGAAAAGTAACTTTTAAATGAAATAAGTATTATTTATAAAGTCAATTATGAAGCAGTGGTGATGTAATTCTTCTCTTTATGAAAATTTATCTACTATTTACTTTGAATAGTCAGGAAGCCAAAACATAGTAAAATGTCTCATATGAGAACCTCTCAAATGAGAGAGAACTCCCTAAAACAACTCAGTGTTTAAGACAGGGAAATATGAAATGAGCTAAGAATTCTTTATGTCCAGATTTTATAGGAAATAGACCAAAGGATAGAAACTGAGTTTTCCTACCTCTTCCTTAAACCATTGGTTCAAATGCAGTCCCTATCATAATAAATCAATAGATAATGCATTTGTTACCAGTATTATTTCTCCGTGACTTTTTCCTCAATATGCATGTCCCCTATTCTCTTTAGCTAACATCTGTATGAAGGGGCAATTTCCTAAATCATCTTTAAATCTTTTATTTAAAAATGTATATATACCTGAAACTTGATTTTTTAAAATGTTACACAGATTAAAACGCCCTATACACAGTATATAGCCAGCTCCTAACAACCTATAAGTAACTTTACTACATTCAGATATATTCATAGCAAATTTTGATTTTAGGTTCTTATTGACCTTTTGTTTAGATTCTGCTAGGTCTTCTGTTGAAATAAGAGGATTTTGTAGTGGTGCTAGTGCTGAAAGAGAAGGCCATTTATTCTAGAACACCTAATTATCTCACACTGTCCATATGTGATATATGAGAGCATGTGAACTAGTTAAGTTTATGTTTTACATCCTTTCCCAATCCATATTGGGCAAAAAGCAGTCTACAGGAGAAGGCATGTGTAGTGTCTTCTTCTGAGTCTTGCCTACTCAAATCAATTGACTTTTCTCCTTTGAGTTTTTATGGATCTTCTGAATTTCAGATATATTTAAATGTAAATGAAGAAACACATTTCCAAGCCAAATATGTATAATTTTAGGGTTAAGTGTACTCCAGAACCCTTCAAGTCCAGATAATTAAGAATTCACTATTTTTTTTTAAGGTATTTGTGGTTGTCACAACAACCCACCTCTCTAGAGATCATATATATACCTCCACCATGGGGAATTAAGAGATAAGCAGCAATTGGCATTCACATACTGCCTAGAAGTAGTATAAATTAAAGCTTTGCCTTAGAACTGATAAAACCCTGAAAGCAGCTAGAAAGGGTAACTGACAGTAGAGGTCTGCAAGACTATGTCTATATGAGGGCATTTCTGTTTTATAACACAGTACAATAATAGATTATTCTTCATGATGAAGCCAAATCATCTAAGAATTATTTAACTTATTTTCTTTTCTTTAAACCCTGTATTTAGGAAAGCATGTAATATGCATTAGGAATACTGCCATCACAAATGTGCAGACATTCATATTGGCTCTTAAGTAGTAAACACTAGTTAACTGGGAAACACATCTGTTTGGAATCCTTCATTCTTTGATAATACTAGGTAAATGAAGCACTATGGTCCAGAATGTTTTAAAAAAAATTAAGAAGGGCTTATACAAAATAGTATACAATCCTCAGGCTTTAATATAATATAAAACCCTAAGAGTACAAACGTATCTACAGGGTTAAAAATGGAGAAGTTGCCTTCCTAAAAAAATCTCATTACCACTGACAGGAAGAGAATCCTCTGCTGTGAAAGCAGCGGGTCTGATCAGAGCTCATCAGTGCACCAGAGTCAGAGGGAAACACCAGCAAAACCCACATTCTGCACTATTTTTCCTATTATTTTATTTCAACCTAATCCTATCATTAAATATTACAAAATAGAAATAACAAATATAAACTCCATTTCATTATTGTCCTGTAACTAAACAAAACACTATGACATATTTAAACATATCTCTCAATCAACAAAAATAAAAACAAAACCCTCCTGGTTTTTCCTATGTCTTTCAAACTTATAAAATAGTAAATATTATTATTTCAGTTTAGCCTACAGTACATTAAAATAAAGGTATAACAGAATAAAGTACTTTATCTAGATAAAAAATTTAAATTCATGGTAAAATCCTTGGGAACAGATTTCCATCTTGAGGTGGATTCTCATATGGTGGATACAAAATCACTTATTTGCCCATTCAATTTTTAGTCTAGTCAATGATATGCTGATTCAAGTTAAACTGATGGAACTACCCAGGCAGCTCTGATTTTGAATCAACTGCTATAGTGCCTGCTGAGCAGGGCGGGTTCACTCACTAGCCCCATCCTGTGCTTCTGTGACATATAACCAGGCTAGACTCAGGAACTAAATGTCGAACCCATGATTAGTAGCACTAAGAGCTAAACAGGAATAACCCCATGGTTATTTTTCAAAGCATTTAAAGAATAAAAATAAACATTTAAACAATATTAAATAAGATCAGCAGATGACATGTACAATTTAAGACTAGTGCCACAATCTTTAACAAATTTAGTAACAAACATGTACTGTATGCCAGACTGAAGGTATTTTTCTTATTAAGGAAAGTTTTCCTTTTCTTAGCATAAATTCTTCTTTTATGCTTTTAGTTTAAAAATGTAATTTCTAACCATGTTTAATCTATGGCAAATTTCAACTATAAGGGAAGTCAGCATATAATTCAAAAATGGCAGACAAATATCTTATATTTTAGAACACTTTACTCTTCTTGTGCATATTTCCAGAGCTGTTTCTTAGGAAAAAAACAAGAGCATATCCAGGAATCTGTAAGACAGTCAATAGTCAGAGCACACAGGAATTGAGACATTTTTCCTTGACTTCCTCTCCCTTGCCTATTCTTCACCAGTAGGACTAGTGAGAAGGCAAATATAATTTACTACTTGACAAACAAGAAAGTGGAGGCATTAAAGGGTATTTGAACAAAAATCTATGCCCATGGCAATTGTGAAGCTTCCCAGCAAACTGGGCAAGGAACATAGCTTTTTTAAGGGCTTCTCATAAACCCTTTGAGAGACAATGACAGAGCAACACAAAATTAGAGAAAGCCCATTTAGGGGTTTCATCTGGATATTTAAAAAAGCAGCCACAAAAATATGTTAATGGCAATAAAAATCCTGCCCCAGAAACTTGCATATCATTGAAAAAATCAACCTTATAAAATGTGAAAACCCTTGTAGTATAAAAATCTGTACAGTCATGCACCGCATAATGACTTTTCGGTCAACAACAGACTGCATCTACGACGGTGGTCCCATAAGATTGGTACCATATAGCTAAGGTATGCAGTGGGCTATACCATCTAGATTTGTGTAAGTACACTCTATGATGTTCACACAACAACAAAATTGCCTAGCGATGCATTTCTCAGAACATATTGCTGTTGTTAAGCGACGCATGACTGTATATTCTAAGTTTCTTTAAAACATCTGATGAAATGACTACAGCATTTTGGTGTTGGAGGAATAAATCCAAGTTCTTTGGAATCTCAAGAAACCAAAAAAACAGTCAAAAATTACCATAGTGGGATTCCACTGACAGGATAACTAGAGGAGCATAACAAAATGGTTATAAAGGAATCTGCTCTATGACTTGAAAGGCTTGACAGTCGCACCCAACATCACCAGGAGAGATTTGAATCAGTTCCTAGTTCAATACATTCTGCAGCTCTGCAGACTTCTGTAAGGAAGAATGGATCACTTTTTCTCAATACTGACTTATGTACACTTAGGCAGTTCTGATGGATGAGCAGGCACAGGATAATAATGAAGACATACGTAGGAATATTAACTGCAGCTTTGCAACCTATGTTTTCACCTTTTGAGAAATAAAGCAGGAAGAGGTTAAGAATATGAGACCCCAAAAATATACAGGTGGGTAAGCCTGCCAATAGCAGCCAAAAAAATATTCAGTATTTCAAAAGCTTCTTAGAGGTACAGTGGTAAGAAAATACTTTGGTATCTCAGGATGTCCAGAAGGCAAAGAGTTTATATTGAAAACTTCACTTTCCTAGGGTGAAGTTTTGCTTTTGAACCTTTAGATAATGCTAACTTTATCTGAAAATCTTTGATGATTAAATTTCTAAGAATGTGATCCTTATTGATTTGTACATCTTTCTTTTATGTAGGAGAGACAGCAGTTCGGGAAGTTTTTGAAGAGACTGGTATAAAAGCAGAATTCAGATCCCTCCTCAGTATTCGGCAACAGCACACCAATCCTGGAGCTTTCGGGAAGTCAGATATGTATATCGTCTGCCGCTTACAGCCATGTTCATTCACCATAAATTTTTGCCAGCATGAATGCTTACGATGTGAGTGGATGGATCTCAATGACCTGGTCAAGACTGAAAATACGACTCCCATCACCAGCAGAGTTGCTAGGCTGCTGCTGTATGGGTACAGAGAAGGGTTTGACAAGATTGATCTGACCATGGAAGAACTTCCGGCAGTTTACACAGGCTTGTTCTATAAACTCTATCACAAGGAACTGCCAGACAACTACAAAACTATGACAGGGATGGATTAAATTCATATTTACAGGTTTAAGAAAATTTAGGTAAATTGTACATGTAGATTAATGCATACCATATTACAAGAAGTAGTGGACATTTTGGGTTAACTAATGTCTGACTTTAATTTTCTAATGTGTATGATTTCCATGAAGAAACTTGTTTGTAAGTGTGTACATTTTAAAAGCCTCTTTTCAAATGAAGCAAATTTATAAAAAAGATTGTAGCTCTAAGTAAGCTTCACTGGATTAAGGCAAATGCTTTATAAAAAGTGGAATTCTATACATTTTCCAGGAATTTTTGTTTTTTTTTTACTAAGGCAACGGTTAAATATTTTACTATTAGATAAAAGGTTATCTGACGAGTTATCCAAACTGAGCAGATAGCTGTGCACATTTTTCTTTTTCTTTCATTAACAAACTTCTAAAATATACCTCTTCTTTCACGTAAAATGAGATTAGATGCTGCCATTAAGATCAGCTCTTAGCAGACATTGGAAGAAAAAGTATAGCTTTCTGCCCAGGTCCTGTTTTGGGTCCAGGTTTATACTGCCCAGTTCGTTTCAGGGCCACATACCAACTGGAGTATTTCCTTGACCGGTAAGTATTGTAGTTATTAGATTCCAATCGTTCAAAAAAGAAACACTCGTCCGTAACACATTTCTGAAAAATAAAGGAAGAATTAGTAGTTGTTGTTGTTTTTATTATTATTACACTTCTCATATTAAATACTTATGACAGTACACTGCCCATTCTGCTCAACCAGCAGCAGTGCTCTTGGGTTCAGCAGGATAATCAAACTAGCAAGATTCAACATGGGCCAGCCCAGTGATATAGTGGTTAAGTTCACGGGCTCTGCTTCAGTGGCCCGGGGTTTGCAGGTTCAGATCCTGGGTGTGGACCTGCACACCACTTATCAAGCCACGCTGTGGCAGGCATCCCACATATAAAGTAGAGGAGGATGGGCACAGATGTTAGCCCAGGGCCAATCTTCCTCAGAAAAAAGAGGAAAATTGGCAACAGATGTTAGCTCAGGGCTAATCTGCCTCACCTAAATAATAATCATCATCATCATCTTCCACACCAAAATAATAATAATGTTAGCAAGATTCAACAGGCCAAAATCTGACATAATCTAGCTCTGCAGAAGGATGCAGGACAGGAACACAGCATGTCAGCAGGACATCTTCAAGCACATCTCTGCAGAGGAAGAATCCAAGGACCATTCTCCAGCCCCCACAAGGGACAAGTAAGGTGTTGGGCAGTGAGAGCACACAGATGGTATAGGAACCACACTGGCTCAGACTTGAAACATCCCATGAACATAGCTTTCGGGGGTCCCCACAAAGTGGGATATACCCAGTAACAAGAAGCTCACTACATTTAGGGAAACCCAAAGCTGTGGCTTCTAGTTAGGTATTTATGGTCCATCCAAACTCCTCCCATCCAGAGGCAGGTTACCAATCGGGTCATTTTTACTTTTTCAGGGTTCCAGTGAAACTGCTGGAAGGGTAACCCAGGGGTAATCTTCCCATAAAGCAGAAGGGTTTTATTAATACTTTACTCACAGAAACAGAATTCCTTAAATTATAACAATTTTTTTCTAGTGGCTGACGTTTCTAACATCTATAAAAAGAATAGTTTACTGTACAGAAAATAGCTAGTGTATATAATGACAAAAAATTGTATTGGAACATTATAAATGATTAGCATTCTCAAAACACTAATAATGAGGAATCGGTAATGTAGACCATATTGATTTCTGGCAGTCTCTTTCTTATGGGAGAGGAAACTACTCTGCCTTTTTATTTCAATTAAACTATTGATCAGGAAGGGTGGAAATAGCTAGCTTTACAAATAGTTAGACCTGGAAATACTATTCCAAGTAATGGAGTCTATTAGGCTGCCACATTATTCCAGGTAAATGTTCAATAATCAGCTTCACGCTGATGATACTTATTGACCTCTAGGGGAAAAAAATCAACAAATGATTTATTCACTTTAAGGGAAGAAAGGAAAAATCATTTATTTTTTATATTACAATTATATATATATATATAGAAAGATAGATGATAGAATGATAAACTCATATAGAAAATCATATAAATTTACACATTTATCTCTACATATAAATACAACATGTATACATAGATATATGACATAAAGCCATGGTTTTGTATTAATGAGTGTACCAGATTCCAGCTTATTTCTATATATTTAGTTCAGGTTTGGGAAAACCCCCATTCGAAACACTTGAATCTTTTCCCAGATTTCTTTGGTTCCAAGACAAACTAAACAATGGCACAAACTAAGAAAAACATAGATCAATAAGCAAAATACTGAAAGAGCTGGCATAATAACCAAGATGAAAAGTAAAGGACTTAGAAAGACCTAAAAGTGAATAACGTGCGTCTAGTCATCTAAAGTAAGGGTGTGGTATTAGAGCCTGTAATCTGCTTCTGGGGATAAGAATTTTACTGGATATTTACTTGGCTTTAATGTTTTGACCACTGTTAACTGAACTTTTAAAAACTGAAATACCAACTTATCTAATTTGCCCATTTTTTGCAACAAATTACTAATAAAGCAAGTTAAGTCTTTCTGATGCAAATAAATCACTGGTAGCCTTACAGAGAAGCATACATTGCACAAGGACCCAGCTCTGTGATACACAGGACTGTCTTGTCCTGTGTATCTTGTTCATAAAGATTCAAATGTGGTAACAGTGAACACTTCTACCTAGAGCAATGTGGATATTCCATATCCAATATTTTCACTCTACCTTTGGTGAAATTTAGTACACTTCTTGTGTTAACTGAAGTTAACCTGTGTTACTTTATTTTGTCATTTTTCAGTGCCAATGATAAAAATCTTCCTCTTTCCCTATTTTAGGTTTAAGATCAGGGGTAGAAGTGGAGGGGAAGTAAAGAGTGAAAGGAAAAGTCATAGTAATCCTAGAGATAACATGAAAGGTCACCATGTTTGTTCCACAGGCTAATTCCCCAAAGGCAGACCTAAACCACATTGCTCAGTCATCATTCAAGATATTGATATGCTCATTTTTTGGTCTTCTGTCAGCTTCCAGGGTGCCCCACCTTGCTGGCTGGCACTCCCTACAATAAATACTCTGCCTACTGGGATACGTACCATGCCAATAATAATTGCCTTCTCAGCCAGTTCCTAATATTTCAGAGAAAAGAAACAGTACCAGGGATTAAATGGATAATACATCATGGAACCCACAAATTGTTTGTTTTTTTTTTAACAGTGGTTACTTGTACCTTTACAAAAACAGAGGGGAGGAAAGGAATACTTGCATCTGTGCTGAATGTTCACCATGTAAATTTACTAAACAACTGTTTACACTTGAAAACAAACTGCATTATTTTTTTAATGGGGAGTAGGGCCAAAATTCAGTTCTCAAGACAAGCAGGCATTTAACAGCCCAAAGTACATACAATTTTCAATTCTGTCCATTCTAAGTTTACAAATCATCTTCAGTGGCTGTGATCTCAAATGTTCCTGTTAAAAATGGATGCAATATAATTTTTATTTTTATAGACATATTTACAGAGCTTTTTTCCTATTCTCACTGTTTAACTGCTCACCATTTCAAACTGAAGAGAAAAGGGGGTCTTCAGAGGAACGATATCACAGAGGAAGTGGATAAGCAGTTTTGAAGGGCTTATATCAACTTGTACCCTGTACTTTGCCTTCAAGGCCATATTTTCTAAAGGCCCATGAGCTGGGAAATCCCTTAATTCATGGTTACTGACTGCTTTCAGGTATATCATTTTATTTAAATATCACAACAATCCTGTGACATAATTATCATAATCTGAGTTTTAGAATTCAATGCTCTTAGTAACGTTTCAGGTTGCAAACACCCTTTGCCCATGTATCTATCTGACACCTTTTCATCAAGTTAAATTTTCCTTTATTTTGTTTTTTATTTTAATTTAAGAGTAATTTGGGGATACAGAATAGCACACAGTTCAAATAATGCATTTATTCAGTTAACAGATATATATTTTTTTCTAGGCTCTGGGATACATCAATGAACAAAACTGAATAAGGATCCCTGCCTTTGTACCACTCAAATTCCAGCTGGGGGAGACACACTGTAAGCAATAAGCATAACTGAGTAAATTATATTATATGCTAAAATATGATAAATCCTATGAAAAAAAGTAAAGCTGAGTAGGATAAGAGGGGTTGGGAGTTGTGGGGGTAGAGATAAGGTTGCAATATTAAATAGCATAGTCACAGTAGGCTCCATTGAGAAAGTGACATTTGAGCAAATACTTAAAGAAGATGAAGGAGTTAACCATCCAGATATCAGAGGACAGCACTCCAAGCAGAAAGAACAGCACTCCAAGCAGAAAGAACAGCCAAGGCAAAAGCCCTACGACAGAATCATGCCTCGAGTGTGTGAGGGGCAGCAAGGAGGCCCGCGTGGATGAAGCAGAGGGCTTGAAGTTGCAGAGTAGTAAGACATGAGGTCAGAGACATAATGGGATGGGAGATGTGTAGGCTATTGTAAATATTTTGGCTCCTACTCTAAGAAAATGGAGAACCGTTGTAGGCTTTTGAGCAGAAAAGTGGCATGATCTGACATATTTTTCCAGGATTAGTCTGGCTGCCAAGACTACATTGGGCCAAAGGCAGATGCAGAGAGACCAGTTAGAGGCTTGCCCAGTAACCTAGGCAGAGAGAGTGGAGGCCCAGACCATAGTGGTGGCAGTAGAGATAATAAGAAGCTGTGTGCTTCTGGATATGTTTTGAAGGCAGAGTCAACAGGGTTTCCTGACAGATTGGATGTGCAGTGTGAGAAAAATTGAGGAAAATGATGGCACTGAAGTTTATGGTCTAGAATGAGGGACTTGCCATCATCTGAGATGGGGAAGGCTATGAGTGGGAACAGGTTTTATAGGGAAAGATTAGGAATTCAGTTTTGGACATGTTGAATTTGAGCTGAGTGTTCGACATCCTAATGGAGATAATAAGTATTTATTGAGCACTATGCAACAGACAAATCACTTAACCTTCTTTCCCTCTTGCTAATGCTAATAACCACAGAATTGGAAGTTGAAAAGTACTGGAATTTATCTGGAATGCTAGAAAGTGTGTTAAATTACAATAATTCCAATAAGCCCTTATTCTCAATTCTACAAGGTATGGAATCTAAAAAACGAATGTAGGTGTACATGTATGAGAGTGCTATAAATCTGTCATGTGTTAGTGATGCGGCACACCTCACGACTTCCCTGAAGGGCTATCCACATGGATGAGCTTAGCTTACATAGGGGTCCAATAACCATTTGTTGATAGTGATAACAGTGATGCTAATGATTTCAAAGATGGTGCTGGGAATTTGACCCCTTGTAGAAGTATCTGAATAGGAAAGAATCAAATAAAGTCTGAAAAAGCATAATCAATATTGTAAATAGTTTGATTTGATTTTTGTCTAGCTATTTAATTGACTTTGAAATTTCAAAAAGAAAGTAAATGATGTGAGCTTTTTAACCTATTGAAAAACTGATCCTAGGAGAGGGTGGGAACCAGATTTCTCACTGTTGGCTTGGGAGGTTACAGACAAGCAAGAGGGGAAGGCTAAAAAGATTCATGTGATACTGGTGGATTAGAGTTGGAACCTACATTAG